AGTAAATGCTGCTCCATGTGAAAGTACGCACGTGATGGAGATTTACCGCTGATTACAGGACCGGCTTTCTGACAAGATGCGCGTTAAATATCGCATGCAATTTATCGTGCAGCCCTAGTTTTAATGAATCATTTGCTTGAGTGATTCAGTGACTCACTCATAAGTAGTCACTCGTTTCGTTCCTCAATGAATCAGTGTTTGTGAACAAATCATTTGTGTAAATGATTCAGTGACTCACTCATAAAGACAGTCACTTATTTAATTCATAAATAAATCAGTGTTTTTGAGTGAATTGCTTGAATAAATGACTTAATGACTCACTGATAAACACAGTTACTTGTCGCCACCTACTGGTATAACAATGCAACCATCAGAAACTGCACAAATACACAAAAACGGACCAATCATATTCAAGGACTGGACCAAAAGGTTGAATACTTGACATTATAATGTTGTGATGTTTAAATTCACTCTTAGCATTTAAATTAATTGTTTCATTTTTAATTTATTTAGACAATTTTTAATAACAAACAGCAGTCTGTCATTTTACATATGGTTCTTGGTCAGAAGGAGCGGCAAAGTGGACCAGACTTGGTCCACTGAGTCTGGCTTTATAAGACTATGCATACAGTATCTCAAATGTCCTCTTGCATTAGTGTGTGTGGTTCGAAACGAAACCCAACACCAGTTCTGCTCTGTCCTCAGTGCTGTTGACCCCTCAGTCCTGCAGTATGACCTCCATGATTCCTGCTGCGCTCACCCCCCAGGGCCTCTTCAGCACAGCAGATGGCTAAAGCACCAGCCATCCACGGTTATTAAGACCAACAGCGTCCCTGTGGCTCTGAGGACAATCAACACCTCTCTCTCTCTTTCCCTTCACAACTTTCTCTTCACCTTAGACAATCTGCTTTGACTCCAGCACTCTTGTGTCCACTGGCGCAGGTGGTAAGAGTTGTTAGCAGCCGTTTTCAGAGCGCTGCTCTGACAAAAATGCATCTCACACTTGCTATCCGAGAGTAATCAGCCCACGTTCATCTTTCTCTCGCGGGTTACCAGGTTTCCTCCTCGCCACACAGCGCTAAATCCATTAAAATGTGAAATCAATGAGACATTAAGTGATCTTTGCATAAAAGCAGACTGTGCTGGTAGCGGTTAGACGTATTTAAAGTAGAGCACATCAGAGAGAAAGTTCTAGAAGACCATAATTTGCTCGCATAAGATGAGGCAGAGGGAAAGTGGCAGCAGTTAAAGTTCATGCGCTGTCAGACTCCATTTGAAAACGTTGACTCTCTCTCTCTCCCTCATCTGGGGATTTTTAAATTGAGCTAAATGCTAAACAGCCCCCCAAGCACATTTACGGAAACACACATAAGTTGGCCAGTGTGCTCATTAAGATATGGAAAAGCTGACATCTGTTGAAGCACATCAGAGTAACGCTCAAAAACACACACTCGACACGGCTAATAGCAGGAGTTTAGTTTAAGTATAGTCAGATGGGGGAGAGAAATCTAATAAACACTGGTATGGAGGTATGGAGATCCATTACACACACAGGACGATCCGTCTTATATTACACTGCATGTGGAGAAATCATTTGCATCCTGTTGGAAACATGTGGTGGGCCGTGTCCTCTGTCCTGTAAGGAGAGCTACTTAAGCCAAAATGACCACAGTCAGAGATGAAGTTATAGCAGTTAAACTACTCTGTTGTTTCAGGAGGCATGTCTGATACCGGTCTGATACATTGCTAATTAATTATGTGTGAATCACAGATATTACAATACTATACAATTTGTCCAAAAAAATAAAATAATAATACAATAAAAACTTTTTTTTTTAACTATTTGCTAAAGATTATGTTATTAAATTATTAGTGTTTTGTTAATTTTTGTTGTGTTTGTTGTTTTGAGTTAGCAAAGGTAATCTAAAAGTAAAATTGGGTGAAATGCACCAGTGTTTATTTTGTGTGTATGATGCATTTTGTGCATGTATGTATGTATATACTTATGTGTATGTGTGGATATATATATATATATATATATATATATATACATACATACACACACACACACACACACACACAAACGCTTAAAATTACTAAAATATAAATTTAAAGCTAAATATAGAAATAAAAAAAATATATATATAAAAGGATAAATTAACATTGAAATGAAAATTGAAATGAGTATGAATAATTATATATCTGATACTGGCTAATGTAAATCCATTACTGTCTGCTACAGTAAATTAAAAAAAATTTATATCACCAAATAATCATGAAGGTTATATATCATAAATATCTATAAACTACGGCAAAGACATTATTGGAAAATGCTTGTAGACATGGGGTCACAATTTCCTTTCTAAAGTGAGAATTATTTTATAAACTCAATTTAGCTTAGGTATGTCCTGTTTACTTGCTTTTGTGCACATCAACACTCTTGACATTTTAATGATATTTGGTGTTGGAAGCCCTTATAGCAGCCATGTACACATAGTTTTGTTTTTCCAGTAGACCAGTGAAAACCTGTGCACCTTACTCCTTGAAATAAAGCCAGCCAATTAGTTTTTAAACAGTTTTTTGTGCACAAAATGCATCAGACAGTCCAAATCTGAAGCTGAGACTAGTGTCTGCATGTTTGACACCAGAGAGACTTGTCTTGTTTCGTTCCGTAGCAGGATGAGTTTGCATCATCATTAAGTAAAACAGAGACATCAGCCTCAATTCTTTTCCAGATTCTCTCACATCTGTCTGAGCGAATGAAGCTCTGGGAGCCGCCACACCAGGGAACTGAGCGAATGCCACACTCAGCTGAGATGAGCATATGTTTCTTCTCTAAAGTGTTGGCCCTTCAGGGTGTGCTGAGACTTAGACGACTCTCTGTGGTGTGTGTGTGTGCGTGATCGTGGATGTATGAAAGCGAGTGGGTGTTTTGTTAACACAGAGGTCAGACTGTCCCAGAGCCAGAGACTAGTTATCACAGCACTGCCCCCTTCAGACTCCTGATGGAATCACATGATGCCTTGAAGCCCGGGACCTTGTCCAGATTTAGCAGCGCCTGGGTGTTGTGGTCACACCGTGACGTAAGAGTTCTCTAGAGAGCGCAGGTGTATGTGTGATTCTCCGTCTGAAATCTGCCGTGACAAATGGTTCCTGATGGCTGATTTGTCGGCGGTCTTTTCTTCTGGGTTTTCAAGATCACCCTCCAGGCAACAAACACACACACATACACTTCTGCTCTCAATATTTGCAAAGTGACAAAAGCTGCTTCTACAAGAGCAGAGAAAGAACAGAGAGATAGATGTTCAGACCAAAAGCAATTTACATTTTCTGTGACAGTTGGAGATTTGAAGTGACATGAGCGAAAGTTCAACTTTATGCAAATGAGCAATGACGTGTATGATCTGTTTCCTTTAAAGCTGCATACTGCAGTGCAACCAACAGTACAGCTTCAAGTGATCATTGTCAATGTGAATAAATACAACTTGCCACTTATGTTTGCAAATGAGGTCTGCTACGATTGGCTAATCTCTTTGCATATGAAATGGGCTGTGAATGATCATCAAACACTGTACAGTGCTGTGTTATGAGTGTGTCCTCTCTTTCTCTCAGAGTAATGTGTGTTTGTGTCATATGGTCTGTTATCTCCTCATATCACTGGAGCATCCACATGCTGCTACAGTCTGCTGTGCTTGACCTTTGACCTCACGCTTTTATTCTGACGCCCAGCTGACCACTGGAGGATAGAATAGCCCTGCGTAGATCTTTCATCTTTTAAAAGGTGGAGATAAGAATTAGGGTCAGGACAAAATACAGCACTGCCTTTGAAAAATGACTCCAGTAGTTTTCTCGTGTGGAAGGCAAGACTTTTGCGGTTGTTTCCTTCTCTATGTGCAGGACATACAAAACAGTTCTGTTTCTCAGAAACTAAAAAACATTTTATTGCTCAGAGGATACTTTTCATAGCACATCATATTTAATGTATTGCTCAGTAACATTTCATTTAATGAATTTCAGGAAAAACATTGAAACAATTTTGAAACATTTCTATAAAGTAATTGGATTTAAAAAAAAATAAAAGTATTTATTATTTAACTTTTATTCAACATTTTTATGTGTAGTCATTTGTGCTTTTCCCCTTCCTCATCAGTCAGTTTAGAAATAGCATGTTTCATAACTGGTAACAGTTGTGTAGGTGTGAGTGTGTACAGTATGTAGAAAGCACATGACTCATTAAAGGTCTGCCTGATCTCTGCTAGACTACACCAATACACAAACACCAGCCATTAGCAGCATCTGAACACACTTTATGCAGTCTCTCATTCAATCGATCCTCCACTTTTCTCAAGCACACAGCTCTTGTGAAATGATCAGAATGGTGTTTGTGTGTGTTGTGCGACTGAAAGAGCATCCTGTCTTTATAAACAAACAGTGAGTAAAGTGTTTATCGTCCTCTCTAGTTGTTTTCCTTTGTGTTCTCACCGTTGGCCTCCTCTTAACACCTAGGAATAGAAAATCATTTCCCCTAGTGAGTCGCAGATTCGGCGGCAGAGAAAAGCATTACTCTTTCTCTCATTATAATAAAAGCACAGACAAATCCTTGTTAAGCCTGGATGAACTGAAAGGGTTAAACTAAAATATGAAAAAAGACAATCCCACGGTCAGAGACTGATTCAGGGATCTCCAGCCCCACATTTACATTAAAACGGGAGCTTGTTATAAGGTGAAATTTCAATGAAGGCACCGCAGAACACATTTAATGAAATTCAGATGTGGCTCTATGAATCTCATTAACAGTCTTTGTGCTTTTCTGCTGTCCGATTTCCCCCTTGTCTGCCCAGTCGTGAGAGAGATTTCATCAGCGGCTTTCAAAAAGACAATGTCTGTTCAGATCTGCACTCCCCACGCTCTCTCCTCTGACGGAGGCCGAAATCTGTCGGAGTTTGAGTTCAAAAGGTACACGACTGACTCTTCCTCTGTTTCTGTCTCTCTTTCCACAGGCTTCGGCTTCGTAACGTTTGAGAATGAAGACATTGTAGAGAAAGTCTGTGAAATTCATTTTCACGAAATCAATAATAAAATGGTAAGTTTGCCCATTTTCAATTTCTGAAGGTGATTGAGGGATTAATATTTTATTTCCCATTTAGCACAATCCTAACAGCATGCAGTTGTAAGCGCTGTGAGTGTGTAAAGTGTTGGGCAGTGGCCAGAAAGCGTGAAATTGTGTGTGAAAACATTTTGATCAGTCAACAAGAGTCAGAAACTTTCCCCTCTCCCCTTCATTTATAAATGCCTGCATCATGACTTACGGGGCTAAAAAGAGAGAGAGGATGAAAAGTAACTGGCACACGTTGAGTTCATTAAATCAGGATTATCACCCCACGGCCCCCCAGTATCAGGCAGAACCAGCAGATGGGCTGCCAGTGTTAGCTTTCAGCTTGCAAATAAATGTTTTCCCTTGAAATTAGAAAGACCTAGTCTTAGCCTCATATGGGCCAACCACAGACTGTATATGCAACGTCTGATGTGTGTTGCATAGTCACTGTTGTCAAAGTTTGCCAGGTTAATGTCAGGTTCAAATTTGAAAGAGATTCAAGCATTTAAAAAAAAAAACAAACTCTAAATAGCCAGTATTTTTATATACTCCTATAAAGAGTTTGACATTTACCCACCTTAAATATCACAGAAAATGACATTTTAGGACAGAGCCTTCCTGTCTAGATGGGCAATTTTTGGACGCAGTAGTCCTGGCTATGTGAAGCTATTTGAACTTTTGTAATATGGTTTATTATTAAATAATACATTATTATTAAATTTATTATTATCTATTATTAAACTCAAAATGATTGTTCAAATATTTTTTATATTTTATAATTATTGTAAATATACTACCGTTCAAAAGTTTGAGGTCAGTAATATTTATTATTTTATTCATAAATAATAAATTAATTCTTGTACACAAACTGACAGTCACCACTGATAAGCTACTACTAAATATTGTAGAAACTTAATTTTCTGTAAAGTTGCTTTGCAACGATTTGTATCGTAAAAAGCGCTATACAAATAAACTTTAATTGAATTGAATTATTCAGCAAGGACTGAGGGGACAGTAAAGGCATATAATATTCTAAAAGGTTTCTATTTTAAATAAATGCTGTTTTGTAATTTTCTATTCATCAAACAATCCTGAAAAAAAGTTCATCACTGTTTCCACTTAAATATTAAGCAGCACTACTGCAGGTTGAGCAGCAAATCAGCATTTTAGAATGATTTCTGAAGGATCATGTGAGAAGAATGGTTTGTACAAATATATGCCTGCCTTAGCAGAAGCACGAGTTGATGGGAGGATGTTTTACATATAGAGAATATTAGAGAAACTGCCCCTGCTGGGCTCTCTGCTGTGGTTGACAGGAGGGGTGTGGTGGAAAGCATTGGTTTGGATGGGGTCTCCTCTGAGGATCTCTCTCACACTGATACTCGTCCCTGCACGCTGTCTATGCATATACCCTAGGCTCATGGGACAGACGTGGGGTAGCACAGAATATCACGAGCAGAGGATCAAACCCCTCAAGATCTTTTTCCATCACAGACAGGTTGTTCCTGAGCCCAGAGACAAATCCGTGAGCGCGGAGCCATGCAATCGATTTTTCTGTGATAGTCCATCATGTGGTTCTGTTGTTCAAAGGGCTGCACGACCTCTCATTTCTGTTCTGATTATCTCTCCTGCCATCCATTCACTGTCACTTTATAAGACCGGCGCAGACCATTAATATACGGTAAATAATTGTAATGGTAGAATAGGCTGTTTGTTTATGGGAAATGATGAGACCTGATTGCTTTCTAGCTTTGCACTTTTGCTGACCAGTGGAGCTACACATGAGATTGAGGCTGTTTTCACACTTGGTTTGATTTTTTGGTCTGAACCAGAGTACACTGCCATAAGGTGAGCGGTATGATCAAAATCTTATATCACGGTTTGAGTCATTTCAAAACTAGGATAAAAAAATATCAGTCTCTTTTGTTTGGCACATATTTATAATCACACACATAGACTAGTTGTGACGTTATGAAATGGCAAAGCCATTGTTTGTGAATATTAACTTGGTTATAAACAAATAATTACTTTTTGTTTTATACTACTTGTAGGGATGCACAATATATCAGTATCATATTGGACAAGATTTTTTAAACTGAATGATTATCACAAGATATTGGATATTTTATTGTGCATGCTCATTTCCCATTTTTACATTTAGAATACCTTTAAAGGCACAATATGTAAGATTTTTTTATTAAAATATCCAAAAACCACTAGAACAGTGTTCATTTGTTTATTTTGAATACTGCATATTGTGCCTTTAATTTAATCTTTTACAACACTAATTTAATAATACTGTTAAATGTATTCTTTTTAAATGAATATCTGTTGTGTTGTGATGCCTACATTTTCTATTATTATTGTTATTAATTTATTGAAAAACTACCACCACAGTAATTCAAGCTTCCTGTTCAGATTTACTTTCCAATAACTAGATGTTATTTACAGCCTGTTGAAGAGAACAAGAGATGTGAACTTCTCCCTGATCCAGAGAAACCTCGTGTCTACCACAGCACACACACCATGTGGTGGTGAACCTTTTTGCCTGGCTGAACATCGCACTGGGTGTCCATTTACAACACACAGACTGAGAGATCTCAGAAAGAGAGAGGAAGGGGTGAACAAGATGAGGTTTTTCCATCAATTCACCTGCTTTTTAAGTGATTAGTCCTGCTGTCTCTTTTCAGGACATCAGGAGTTTCTTCTCTCTTTCCTGCAGTCCATAACTTTCTGACATGCCAGCCAACAGCAGCCAAATTATACTTGTTTTGGAGATTGTCGAGTCTGATAAGACATTTAAGGTCCGTTCACATAACTATAACTATAACCATAACTATAAAGATTATGATAACTACATTAGTGTCCATATCATCACATGATAATGCTCTGTTTATTATAAGCGTTAGCTGAGTTATTTTGCCTGCCGCTTTAAATGCACGAGCTCTTTAAAGCAGGACCGATTCTGATTGGCTGTCAATGTTTTTATGGTTCAGCTGGAAGAAATTTGTTCTGAAAGTGATTCCAATGATATCGTTCCTCTGTGTCATTATTATTATAGTTGTGGTGTGGATATCCCTATTCTTGTAGAATTACAATAAATATTAAAACTTAGTTATTATCATTATAATTATCATCCCTTATGTGAACTGGCCATTAGGGGCAGGTAAATCTGAAATTTGATTTTGCAATAATAGAGCATCACACAGAAAACTGAACAACTCCACTGTGCTACTTCTGTTTCAGTAGATCAAAGGAACCAGTAGTGCATATAAATGGACTCATACTGGTTTGACAGAAGTGCTTGTAGATTTTATTACCCAACGTGTGTAATTTTTTATCTTGTTTTATAGTGGAAAATGAGGCACAAATTTTATCTGACTTATCTATTTTGTTCAGGCAGCTGCGGACCAATTACAGCACAGAGAGGAGCATAATTCACTTCTTTGAGGACAAATGCTTTCTTTTTCCTCACTTTGTTCTTAAATGTGTGATTCTGAGGCATTATGTGTCTGATTCTTGATTCTTGACTGGTGGATTTATTTTTATTTGTATTTTTTTTATTTTTTTTTTTGTAGTGATATTTTTTTTTTTTGAAGCCACCTATAAGTCTTCGTTTTAGGGTATGAAGTTTGGGCTTATGAAGGAGGTCCTTGAGTTAAAATGAGTTTGAGAAACCCTTTTCAGACAGCAGCAGTGCCTGTGTGTGAGCAGATAATGGCCCGTGATGTTTATCTCCTAGATGATGTCTGTCTAGATGAGTGTTTGCGGTCCAGAATTAGACCTGTTATTATGGACATGCTGTACAACAGGTTGTCCAAAACACCCGTCTACGAACACATCAATACATCTCTCTCAGCTCTTGAATTAAAGGGTTAGTTCACCCAAAAATGAAAATTAGGCTGTGTTTTGCTCACCCCGAATAAAAAAAAAAGTGTCTCACATGGCTCCGGGGGGTGAACAAAAGCCTCCTGTAGCGAATCGATGCGTTTTTGTAAGAAAAATATCCATATTCAAAACGTAATAATCACTAATCATAATAATCACTGTAGCCTGCGCCAACAGTTGTACATGGAAGCAGCTCTGGGCGGATGACGTACGAGGTCGGCGTTGCGCATGCGCCGCTCAGAAGTGACGAACGCGGAAGCGTTGGCCAATGTAGGTTGTTTGGTTTGTTCCACTCGTCGGCTCTCGTAGGGCTCACGTCGGCGGCAGTTTGCCCGATTCAACATGTTGAATCGGCGTCTGGACTGTCGGTGCGAGTGAGAGCTCTGATTGGATGTTCAGTTTAGCGAACGAGTCAAGTGCCCGAGAATTAGAGCGAAAGTGATGAGAACAAGCACGTAAATGAAGGTGGTACAGACAGAAGGCTGTTTAAATGTTACGTGATCTTTCCCAATCATTCTTATATGCGAATGTTTTCATAACAACATGAGCCGCTTAAAATGATTGAAGTTATCAACGTTACTGATATTCAATTATTAAAGTTATCAACGTTACTGATATTCAAAATGGTAAGCAACCGCTGCTTTGTTTATGTTTCGTATATCCGCGTTTATCTCGTATATCTTTGTTTCGGTTTCTCCTTTTGAATGACGAATATATACTATTGATAGCTGCTGATATAGACCATTAATTCCTCTCACGCATGCGCAGAACGCACATCTTAGTTTGCCGTCGGCTGTAGTCTGTGCGGTGTGTTGGAGCGCAGCTTTTTGGTCCGACGCTGCCGATGTGAGGCGACAACACCATCGTTTTTCGTCGCCGCTAGTTCTTTGAAGTTGGCTTGGTGTGTCCCGGCCTTAACACCTCCTTCTGTAGTAATTATAATACATTTACATGTTATAATATCTCCCACGCTGCATCCTCAGGGCTCTGAGTGTGAACCAAACCTTTTTAGATTTCATTAATTTAGAATGAATATTAAATATCCGTCACTGGCCAAATCCAGAAATATCTCATGTATTCAGAGCAAAGTTGAACTTCAGCAGAACCGTCCGTCCATGTGTGTGTGTGTCCAGCTGTGCCGAGCAGCATCTGCGTGAGTCTCAGTGGGAGATGATCTGCAGTGTGTGTGTGTGTGTGTGTGGTGAAAGGCCGAGCAGCGCACACACTCACACACAGATGGACGGGCCCTGGGCAGGCAGACGAGTCGATCAATGCAGAGGACAGATTCAGCCAAGTGCAAATGCATCGTGTTCTTACTGTAGAGGCGCTGTCAGCGCACACACACTCACACTCCTGTAAGCATGCAGATGTGCTTGGTAAATAGGATCCTTTGCCTGCTAGGCCTGTCAGGAGGAAAGTCTTTACTCGTCTGACCCGGTTATGCTTATATCACCATAGAGAGCGAATGTCTGTGTGTTTGTTTGGGTTTGATGTTTTCTGCGTGTGTGTTTGTTTATTTCTCCCCTTTGCTAGAGACATGTTGTCTTCCCTCTCCTAGCTCTCTGGAGGAATATTCCTCTGTCTCTCAGGCAGGGACTGCTGTCTGCTGTCCGCTCATGTGCTCAGCTCCATAGGTTAAAATGTCAATCAGAGAGTGAGAACGTGAGGATGAGGGAAGGGGGTGCTGGGGAGATCACAGGTGGAATCAGAAAGACGGAGAGACTTTTAGTTTATTTTTGCATTAGTTTTTTGTCTGAAAAATGCTTTGGATACACAAATGTATCGCTGTTTGTTATGCCAATAATGTGCACAAAAATCTAACTGACATAGCTTGAGATATGACTCAAGGTCTGTTCAAAAACATTCCTATTTTTAGGCATCATATTTACGGTCCAGTGACTCTTCCAAATAATGGGTGGGCGAAGTTCATGATACCTGTCAAGAACATGAACAAGACAATCTATATTTCATCCAAAAACCAAAAGAAAAAAATTATACATTTTATTTAGCATATACAAAATGAAGCTCTCTATATTTTTTTTAATGAATATCTTTAAAAAGTCTCATCGAAGCTCAACAAATGCTGAATTTATTTGATCAAAAATACAATAAAACAGTAATATTCTGAAATATTATTGCAATTTAAAATAACTTAAGATATTTAAAATATAACTTATTCCTGTGATGTAAAAGCTGAATTTTCAGCAGCCATTACTCCAGTCTTCAGTTCATGTGATCCTTCAGAAATTATTGTAATATACTAATGTACTGCTCAAGAAACATTTCTTATTATTTGTTGTAAACAGTTCAAGTCAAGTGAAGTCTGCTTTATTGTCAATTCTTCCACATGTACAGCACATACACACAGAGAATTGAAATTGCCTTACTCTCAGACCCTTGGTGCATACAGATAACACTAACAGTAGAACACGCCTATGGATGAAGCTGTCCTTGTATTTAAGTTGTATTGCTTCATGAGGAGAAAGTTCAAAATAATCCCAATTTATTCCATCCTTGCAAATTGTGAAGTGTTTTGTCATCATGGTGGTATTTTCTGTACTGCTTTGAATTCATGGAGAATGTAATTTAAAAACAAAAATTAAATGTGTTCTTAACATGTTTTTTGAGAGATGCGTAATTATGCTGCCTTGTTTGACATTTTGTGTTGGCCAACTTCAATCATCATAAGGCAATCATAGAATGAAGTGTGACAAGCTTAGTGCAAAAAAATAAAAAAATAAATTATTGATAAAAAATAGTTCCATCTACTTAAACTTGGACTATTAGGAGCCTATGATTTCAACTTTTCCTCAAGATGTTAAGTATTATGAATTAAATTTGTTAGACATGTTTTTGATTATTACAATTGTATTAAACCATTCAAATGGAATCCAGGAAAAATTAAAAAATAAAACACAGGATTTGGAAAACAATAAAAAGCTTTCATAGGGCCCTAGACTTTGCATGTGCTATTTAGTTTTATCATATTGCAAATTTAGTGACATGTTAAAACCAGCAACAATTTTGTCACTTAGCTCTTCTCTTTGTGTTTCCTTCTGTGTCTGTCTGTCCACAGGTAGAATGTAAGAAAGCCCAACCAAAAGAGGTGATGTTTCCTCCAGGCACGAGGGGGAGGGCGAGAAGTCTTCCGTACACCATGGATGCTTTCATGCTGGGCATGGGCATGTTGAGTGAGTCTCACATGAACACACACACACACACTGATTCACTGAGGGGTAGCATCATCAGGCTTAAGATGATGAATTCTGATTTGCTGCTAGACGAGATAAAGGTGTGTCTGTGAACGTGTCTGGTTAGTTCAGCTCAGGTGCTATAGGATCCCTCAGACCTGACGAGCAGAAAAATGTTTGTATTAATGGCTCAAATGAAGAGCAAAATTAGGCCTAATGTGCCTTATTCAGTGCAGCCATCTGCCTGACCTCTGCCCTTGCTAATGACAGTGGCACTAAATGAGAAGAACACATCGGCTATGGGAGACAAACCTGTTGCCAAGATCAGTACTGTTATTCATTCATAACACAGATATATAATAAATATAGCTGCAAGGTCCTATTATCGGGGTTCTAGCACATATGAAAAAAGATATTACGTATTATTTAGCAAGCATGTAAACACCTAAATTAATGATTAAAAAAGCATTTTTGGCAAATCCAGATGATTTACCTGAGAAATATGATGATTTTTAATTTTTTTACTGTTATAGTGCCACCTATGGTCTGATTGGAGGAGTTTGCAAAAGGAGTTTTTTTAAATAATGTCAAATATTTAAAGAACAATTTGATTGACAGCAGTGGTCCTACAGGCAAATTTGTTCAGAATGAGGAGATTGATCGTACGATGTAAAGATCTAGTGTGTGCGTGAATATATTAACATTTTCTGCTAATTGATGTCATTTACCATAGAAATATAGTGTTTTTGAAGCGTTTTTTAAAACTGTTATAGCGCTACCTACGGTCCAATCTACATAAAATGTTCCATGTTTGTTTAGAATCACCTGTCGCATGTGCTCACCTAGTTTCGCGAAGTTTTGTGTAATCGTTTGGGATTTATAGGCTTTTGGGTGTATTTGGACATGCCTCTTTTCTAAATGAACCCGTTATAGCTACCCAAAGGGTAAAGTTCAAATTTTTTTTGATAATGTTTCAGATAACTGATAATATCAAATATATTAAATTACGTAATATTTCATTTAATTTATCATATTGTTTTTAATTTTAGATGTTTTTTTTATAATTTAACTGAAATAAGGTGATAAACAGATTCATTACACTCAACTTACGTAGCGCAGATAATGTATAAACTTCTATAATATACAGTATAAGCTTCAAATAACTTTGATTAATGATATTTCAAAATATTAAATTATATAATTATTTAAATGTTACCATATTGAGTATGTATATGTATGTATGTGTGCGTATATATATATATACAGTGGGTACGGAAAGTATTCAGACCCCCTTAAATTTTTCACTCTTTGTTATATTGCAGC